TAAAATGATTCACAGAATACAAAATATACTTTACTTTAATGGATTTTGACATTTACATAAAGTTTTTCGTTAACCTTAAAACTTTTAAACGCAAAAACAGTGGTTGCTTTCTAACAGCTGTTAACCAGTGAGAGTATCCACAACAGGGGAAAATTAACCAGAACGCCAAACTTTAAAGTATACGTTGTCCAATTTCCCTTACGAAAGCCATTAAAGAAAAGTGTACACTTTGACGCAAGACATAAAGATTCCGAGTGGAAATTACGAGCTTCAAAAACGCAAAACGCGACCCAAATTCTCTATCTCTGGAAAAGTTTCAATATGCAAACGACTCCAACCTCATCATTTTATTACCGACGAGTAAGATGTTAAAGTCGTTAGGAGGCGGCCATATCGACTGTTAACAGATCGCCGGATGATAAAAGATGTTCAACGGGGAGATTTATCGACGTAAATTGGAGAAGGAACCGGAATGCGAAAGCAACAGTGTTATGAGAAGTTATCAAAATTGAAATAAGTTAAAATGATTCAAGCAAAATTACCTGGAGCTTTTCGTTTCTTAAAACATTATGAGTTTACGGTTTTCGATCAATTACTGATACTTTCGAAATTAGTTGTTGACTTTCAGCATGCACTTTTTTGGATTTAAAATATAAATAACTTGTGAAAAGTGCAATATGAATAGAAACCTAAGGTGTAGGAGTAGGTAATTAATACTTCACCTGGAAACACAAATTTAGCACGCAAAGAATAAAAAGTGCCACTGTGTCACTAACGGCAAAAGCACAAAAAGAATATATCTTTAAACTTAAAATCAATATTACACTGTGCTTCAAGAAGCATATTCCAACTCTGAAGGTGAGATTCCTCACTTTTTTATATCAAAATGAAACTCTCCCCTGAACTTAAAAAAAAAAAAATATTAACAACCTAATCAACTAAAACTCTTCTTACAGCAACTTTTTTAAGGGTTAAGGTTCATTTCAATTGTCTCCAAAATATTAATGGTAGCTCCCTAATTCTGCATGGTTTCTAAATGTATATTTTTTTAATTTACTCCAAATATGTCCAAAACGACTAAAGCAAATCCAATCAAGTTTGGAGGCTAAACGTTATTTAAGCTAGGTCATATTTTACTATAAACAGAGTTTTTAAATTTTATGATGAAAGACCTGCCCGAGCTGTTACCTGTATTAGTGAGAAATAGAATGCGACAGAAAGTGAGAAATAGAATGAAGTTTTCAGTTAACCTCTGAAGACGCCAACAGGATGACCGGCGAAACGTTGGCAACCGACGCAAGAAGAGTCTAGAAGATTTGTAAATAGTATTGCAGTAGCTTGTGGAAGTTTTTTTGAAAAATTAAATTGAATGTGGTTCCAATACGATCGGGCACCATATCTTTCGGAAACACACGATCATCGATGGATTGGTCGCGGAGGTCCAATAGGTCGTCCACCAAGATCTCTTGACTTAAATTCTTTAGATTTTTATTGATTTAAAGGAACTTGTTTATAAGATACCCGTACAAACAACTGAAGAATTGTTAGAACGCATAGGATTAGCATTCGGAAGAGTTCTATCCTCGTATTTGTGCCCGGGTAAGACGATCTTTGTACCGACAACTGAGGGCTTGTAATGCAGCTGCTGGTAGACATTTTTAGCACCTACTGTAATTTTTTTTATGAAGGTTTAATTTACGAGCCTTAAAAATCTTTGAAAAACAAAGATATTTAATTCACTACATAATACAACATAAAAGCATTTCTCTCATTAAAGAGGTAAGAGATAGCATTTAATAGGCACTAAACAGCGTTCTTAATATTGTTAACAAAGAGAAAAAGTCAGTGTTGGCCAGCGTTGGTAAAGTTGTTTAAACTCTTCTTGCAGTTAAATATGTGCAAGTTTAAATAATTTTAAAACTCCAAATTTTATTAGAATCGGTACAGTCGCATCAAAAAATGGAGTCTTTCCATCCTTTTGCTATTAAAACCCCTAGTGCTGAAAAGTCTGAGTCTAAAGGCCCCCACAGACGCTCAGTTTTTTAGCACAGGCCAACTGTGCAGGCCAATTTGTGAAGTTTAACTGCACTATTGCCTGTCCCACACACGCGCAGGTTTATAGCACAGTTCTTTCTATACAGCCAACTGGGTAAATTCACACTCAATAGTTTTGAAACGGTTTTTCTATACTTAGTAAAATAAAATGGCTTCTCGAGACACGGCATTATATAATATAAAATGCAAAAAAAGCAACGGTTGGTTCAAAGAACCAAATGGACTGACCGTATTAGTGTTTCAATAATATCCTATTACATTTATTCCATGTTCTTCATCGTCTAGGTTACTCGTTGAGGCATGTGTCTCTTGATCACTTAAAAAGATCGGCAATTCATAATACCACAGGTTTGGAGTATAAATATCTTCTGTACCGGCCCCACTTACTTTGCTCTTCAATATTTTTTCTAATTCTTTCCTAAATGAACTCCTTAAATGAATTATTTTTAACCACGGCTTCCCTATTTGCTCCCGAATCAACTTCTTTGAGTTTTCCGACCAACACATCATAGGCTGCGAACTTTTTATTTCTGTCACTGTATTCTTTACTCTTTACTTTCCATAAACATGGTGAGCTTTCGTATACCTCAATAAATTCGCTTAAAAACTGTTTGTTAACATTCGTCATTTTGTTGCTTACTATTTTTGGATTCTAAATAAACCTTAAAACTGAACAAATCAACTGAACGAGTCCACACACGCTCAGATTTGCACAGGTTAAATTCAAGTACGGTCTGATTTTGCTCAGGCCAGGCCAACGGCCTGCGCAGTCGGCCGGACGTTTATACAAACGCACCGATATGCCTGCACAAACTAGGTTTGCACAGGCGGCCTGTATTAAAAAACTGAGCGTCTGTGGAGCCTTTAATAGAGCCAATAATATTGCACAGTATTTTCTACTACCACCAGTAGAAGAATGTACAAACCGGATATGTTGTTTCTTGATAGGCAACACCGTGAATAATTCGGTTATCCTCTGCAAATTGAATTTCAACGGACGTATTATCAATTCATATGAAACATGACAATTTATAGAACCCTTGCTAGTACTGGATTGCATAAAAGGTGGCCAAAGATTCTTAAAGTGGGCTAGCTACTGCTTCAGTGGAGACGCGTTCTTTTTATCGATAACCGTTAACTATCGATCGAGAGTTTGCAAGTTTTTCCTTGAATAATTTTATCAAAGCAATAGTTGAGCGAGGAAAATACAGAAACGCTTGTAAGGAGCTTATTATTGCCTCCCCAAAATAATAAATTGAAGAGGAAATACAATTAAATAAATTCATTAGTCAATATTAAATTTTTGTGGTTATTTTTTTTTAAATTTAATTTGTATTTAACACTCCTGCTAAATTGCTAAAAAAATGCAATGAAATCTTCAGTTCATTTCAAACCGCAGTTCAAGTGAACTTAAAACAGCTCTTACCAAGGAAACTCTTTGAAGGTAAAAAAAGAAAAGTTCTAAAGATTTCTCATTCTCATTTATTACACTGGAGTAGTAAGAAAACATAGACCTTAACTGAAACCTTATTTTTACGTAACCAAGAAGTTATATTACTATGAAGCAAAATTGGAAAAGTGAAAAAAATTATAAAACTAAAGTTATTTGTAACGAATGCAATGAGTTTAATTAGTAATAATAATAATAATAAAATTGCTTATGGTTAAATATCCCCGTTAAGTGTAGAATTTTTTTATTCAGGCAAAGGATAAGATATAATTTTATATTATGATTTTAGTTAATCTAAAATTTCTTTACACCGTTAATATGTACTTCATACTATTTAATATAATTAAAATTCAATTTTGAAGTGATGTGTACTGAAAACAGAAAAATGGTATTACTTAACATGTTCACATATGTTGCGTCATGGCCTCCCATCACCACAAGTACTTTGTCGGCTTTCGAGAGGGGCTGTCAATAGTCGAATATAAAAAAAATATGTCAGGAATAGATCGTCAAGACCAACTGTTTTCTTGTTACTCCTCTAAAAAAAAAACTCTAAGATTGTACAAGATAGATCATTAATGCTTTTTTATTATTCCTCTGAAAAAAACCCTAATGGTACAACAAGCTGTTTGTGCACTTTTTGTCCATTGCAACATTAAATAGTTTTCTATTATTTAATAAATATTCTTCCAAAGAAAAAGTCGATTACTACAGTTTTCGGAATACTCTTATAAAAGAACTGTTTTCTGAAGCAAACAAAACAAATAAACAAACAAGCCGAGCTACATCAAATATAACCACTGAACATATTTCCTTAAAGTTCGATTAAAATCATAAAGGAAAGCATGCTACACCCAAAAACTGCGGAAAGACGCCCTCCTGTCCAGAAAAGTCGAGACTTTGCCTAGGAGAGGGTGTTCATCAAATTTTTACCGGCAGCGAACGTGTTAAGCGAAATGTAGCTAAAATAATAGTTTGTACCTTAACGCGCGGTAGTACGGTTTCTTGCAAAAATGAATTAAAATTTGCATCTTATTCGCGTTTCAACCAAAAGCGTTCCCTTTGAAGTGGAATTAGCTAATGTCATAATATTATAGCACCATCGGCAACAGTCTTCGGATCTCGTCGCGACAGACGTGTTTCTATTCTGGTGACTTTGGGGCGAACAAAAAGCCCACTAAGGAGCTTTGCAGCGGCAGCCCTCGGAAACGATGTGGGTCGTCGTCTTAACGTCTTCTTAGCGTCGCGTCGCATGGACGTGTTGCACCAGACACGTTTAATTATGTAGCTTAATATGGGTTGCATGTTAACGTCGACGCTCCATTTTTGCAACGTAACCTAACCGTGTTATTTTGGATTTTGCCGTATAATGTTCGCTGATTGAAACGATAGACGAGACTTTGCTATTAGTTAATTAAGCCGACGCAGACGCAATTGTGACAAGGTACATGAAAAACTATAAATAACGTGGTGCAGAAAAGAAAACGTAACGTACCAGCCAGTCTTCCATATCGTTGAAACATCCTTTCGACATCTGTTTTGGAGCACTGGAAAGTGTTCAGGTTACCCACGAACACTCTGGAATTGACCGCTTGGGGGTCTTGGGAATTGGTCTGGTTGCCAACCTTACTCATCTTCATTTTCGCGGCTTGTCTGAAATTAAAAAGAGGTTATTAGTTAACCAGTGATAAAGGGCGTTAAATAAAGTTAATCGTGAACTTGAATTTGCTTTTCTATTCTTCGTTTTGACTGAATACTGGACTGACTACTCTGGAATTTCCAGCTAATCTTCGTAATTTATTATTTACTTAATTAATTAATATAAACGATTGTTCTGTTTCCAAGCTTTTAGCTGTTATAATATAGAACTCTCTACCTTAAAATCTAAAAATTTATTTTTGTCTTGTTCTTGTAGAATATGTATTTTTCGATTGAATTAAACACAACACAATAAATAGAATGTTAACCCATACACAATCGTATTTTTTAAGCAACCCCCAAAGCGAGCGATACACACTGCTGACTAAGACTATATTTTAAAATAAATAATTATAGAATAAGCAAATGTCGTACATATTTCAAATAAAAACCAAAGAAAGCGAAACAAATATAGTGATCAAGAAAAATATGTAAAAGATATAACCATATAAATAAAATTTGGAATTAATAATCCATTGTTAACATAATGTGACTATTGATTGAGTTTATTGAGTTTTGTGAGTTTTTTGAACTTCGATAACGTTTAAATTGAGCTTAACTATGCTTGAGAATGCAGAACAGTTGTTCACTATGGGCATTATTAACGGAATGAATATCTCAGCTACGAGTAACGATTTAAACAGTTAGTCTAAAGGCAACTAGTGTGATCTTTCAAGGTTTCCAGAAATATGATCAACCATAGAAACATTATAAGGCAATGTGAGACTATAATTCTGAAAACAAGCAAGTCGACCACGATACGATATGAAATATTGGATGGTTTGAACTTAACAGGTCTAGTTAACACATCTTTATGTTAGTAGAGAATCCGGGGGTATAGAGTGGCTTTGGATGAAGGTTAAAGAGGCTACGTGACCTCCAAAGCGAAGATCTAAAAACGTATCTAAACTTTTACATTCAGCAACAGACTGAAAAATTATAATATCTAAATAAATTTGGGTGTCAGTTTGGTCTTCGCACAAAATTTAAAACTGTTTGTCTTATTAGTTCAATTTAATTCCAAATTAAAAATTTAATCTGTTCATATGTGTATGGCTGAAAAGAATTTTACAGATGTGTAACCCTCCACTGAATATGCAACTGTGTGCTACTCTTTGAAAATTTTGGGCTTATTCGGAATAATTGTTATTATAATGCATTATGTAATACTTCAGAGAAGCAAGAAACTAGTACACTACAAAATATCTTTCAGAAAATAATGTTAGGACTCTTAAATGATGTAAACATGTTGCCAGAAATTTAGGTTAGGCCAGATTAAGAAAAACAGGTTAAGATAATGAGCTAAGCTTCAACTTCGTCTTTCGTCATATGATATTGCAATAAAGTCATTATTATTACTATTTTCTTGTTAAAGTTTTCCTGTACAACATATAATGCAACAAAAACTGTACAGCATTGTTCATAAACTATTATGCCCTCATCAAGCTTGGCCAAGAGTATCACTTCGAAGTATCAGCTTCGTCAGTCAATTCGGGAATTTCCGGTCTGTTAGTTATGATTTTGGGGACGATCGGATGGTTTCGGTTTGGCGAAAGATGGTATTTTGATGTTAGTCAGTTCTGACAGTCACGTCACTCTGTTAGGGTTTTCGTACTGCTTGACAAAAATGTACCTCAAAAACTGGTTCATAAACTTCATTAAGCACTTATTTATTAATTTTCTCTCATTCTGCAATTGCATCCACAATGTACTGTTGTAGGGATAGCAGTGAGGAAATGGAAAATGTCATATTTTATTAGGTTGTTTTTCGGTATGTTGGCCTGGTTGGTTATAAAAATATTTTGCTCTCGGAAGAAAAATCAAGCTTGTATAATAAATCACATAAAATCCATTAATTAACATACGTGTTAAAAGTTATTAATCGGATGGGTAACGTTGCTATTATTGCCGACTCTGTGCAGTTTCAACTTCATAAAACGCGGGACGCAACAGTAAAAATTCCATTTAAAAACAGCTACATTGTGGATTAACGGTAACGATGGTCCGAAATTCCATATTTGTTTGTACGTGTAAGCACGTATCGGATTATTAATGGAATTTTTTATTACATCCGGATTGTATATTTGTCGTTAAAACGTTTTATTGTTTTATATATGCCGATGCAGTAAAGTATTAATATGACATATATAGGAACGCCAACCGCAGAGCAGAAAATCATTTTTATAACTTTTAACAATAGTTATTGCGCGGGTTTTGAATAAAACCCTACTACGTATTTCGAGATATAGAAATATTCGTCTTTATTTACTGAGGGAAAACATTTCAATCACCATTCGAATTCGCCTTAAATTGAAATATTTACGCATGTCTCTCTCAGTTGTTAGCGGTTGGGGTTAATTTGATTTGCGAAGTTTCTATAATGTGACAGTCTAGGGAACTAGCGACGATAAATGAAAGTTTTTAATGGAAATAAGTTATAGAAAACATCGAATTTTTCGGTTTGAATTTCAAAGTTACGTTTACATCTTAACTTTGCAATGGTTCGATCAAATACAAACACAGAAAAATGTGACTAGTTTAGATTTAAAAACAGTTCAAATTATTGACAGTTGAAAAAATAAAATTAACACCCAGAGAAACCAAAATTAAAAAAAAAAGACTAGAACTAAGTTTAATGTGTCATCTGATTGATATTTGTAAGAAGAAGCAGTGCCTAGTTTACTATTATTTATAATTTAATTTATGTAGTTAATTTAGCAAAGCTTCACACTTTGAATTTTTATAATTTTTGTATCAGGCAATATCGTTATTTATTTTATTTATATTGTATTCATTATTTCCAGAAAAAAATACGTTTTTCGATAACAAGGGTTTGCCAGCCAATACAATCATAAGATTTTAAAACAAAATTAAATTTACTAAGACAAAACAAACACAGTAAAAGTAAAAATTGAAATTGAACTTCAGTAATAAGAGAAATAAAAACTAAAGTTCCTTCCATCAATCATTCGGCAAAGAAGAGGCAGTATATTGCCACGAGTCGTTGATATTTGCTATGCGAGGTGTGTTCAGAAAGTATTTAGATATAATATACTTATGGCAACGTTTTTCACAATCCCTCTTCCTTTCATGGGTTTCTTGGGTTTTAAAAAAAAAAAAAGGGAAAAGTCACAGAGGCCTATATCTAGTGAATATGGTGGCTGAGGCATGATTATGGTTTGGTTTTTGGCCAAAAAATTAGACACAAGCAACGATGTGTGAGCAGGCGCATTATTGAATTGTTTTCCCACAATTCCGGACGTTTTCTTCGTAAACGGCGCATAACTTCAAGGTAATATTTTTTATTGACCGTACAACCTTGTGATAAGAACTCTTGATATATTACGCCCCGATAATCAAAGAAAACATTAAGGAAAACATTGATATTTGATCGAACTTGACGTGCTTTTTTCGGTCTTGGCGATTCTGGGTTCTTCCTTTGGGACGACTGGGTTTGGTTTTGAAGTCATAATCATGTACATACCCATGATTCGTCAACAGCTTTGACCTTTTCGAGAATATCAAGACCATCATTTAAGTCGTTTAACAGCTCTTGAGCGATGCTCCTTCAACGATCAAAATTAATTATTTTCGGAACAAATTTTGCTGCTACACGTTTTATGGCCAAAACTTCGGAAAAAATTGAATGGTAAGGGCCAATAGAGATGCTCTCTAATTGTAATTTGACGATTTTTCAACACCATTTGCTTTACTTCTTCAACGCTTTCATTAGTTATTGACGTTCTGAGGCGTCCAGAGTGAGGTTCGTCATCGGCGTCTTCTCGGCCATCTTGGAAAAGCCTGTACCGCCACCTTTTTTTGCTCAAAGTAGATTCAGCATATGCCGTCCACACACGTATAATGCTTCTGTCTCACAAACAAAAGTAAACCTGCAAAAACGCTGAGACTGTGAACATATGTTATAGACATGTGTACCAACATAACAAAAAAATATATCGAAGATTAAATGTACGTAGCCCGCCCAATTACAAAAGTCCTTTCCTTTTTGAACACACCTCGTATAGCTTGTTTACGGGTTAAGTGAGTACATGGGATTTAAAGGTTGTAACGTCGGTAAAATCGTGGTTACGAACTCGCATATAGTATAGGAAAATTATGTCTATTACAAACATAACAATTTTCTTGAGAATTTATTTCAAAAGCGTTTTTATTCTAACGATAGGGAAATAAAGGTTGGCATGTGTGTCAGCTTCGAACGATGACAACACCAATTTTGAATAATTTAAATTGCATTTTTTCGAACAGAATGGTTTTTTTTTTTTAAAAGCACTCTTTTATAAAATGTTGTTTGAATTTGATCTACGAGGTCTAAATATCTAGGTACCCATAATGCAAGGCATGGAGGAGGTGTGTTTTTTGGCTTTTGGTTTTAGATATCGTTGAAAATAGTCTTCCCGTTTATTGGTTCACAATGACTACAGAGGGAAGAAAGGCAAGAGAACACCCAGGTAAGTATATTTGGAGCCTATTTCAAAAGAAAGATTGTTAAGTTTGAAGGGAAAACAGCAAGCTGTTGGGCCACCTCCCAGGAAAAAATGATAATTTGCTCCAAAATTGTTATGTAAAACAATATCAATAACAATTCTTTACACGTTGGATTTTCTTGGATGAAAACCAAAGCATGGCATTCAATTTTATAAAATGATTTTTAAAGCAACACATTAAACGCTGTGTCTATGATTCTGATATTACTACATTTTACAAATAATAATTTTTGACACATCGACTTCGAAGTTGAATTGAATCCTTCTACTTTACTGAAACAAACTTAAGAAAAACTGCCATGCTAGAGGACAACTATCGGGTCCTTTAACCAAAATAGCGTCAGAATCATTTCGCTTCAATCAAAATCCATGTTTTAAATTATTGTTTCCCACTCACGCAGCGGAATTAAAAAAAAAATCTGGGAAAGCTGCAGTCTTTCAACATACTTT